ATAAATTTATGTCCCGCTAAAAAGTTAGTGAATGTTTGACCACAAAAATTGAATATCTTTCATTTTGTATGAAATTTTTGGATCTGTAGTTGGAGTTGGAGTTTGACCATGCTTTCTACAAAAGAATATTTAAAATTTGACTATATTTTTAGTTAGTATATTTGAATATACTTACTGCAAGAATATTTAAAATTTAACCATCAAATTTGCCCAAAGAGAATAACATCTCAATATTTTGAATTTGAAAAATACCTAATGTCTTATAATCAGTGTTTTCAAAAATATTTTTGGGGCGAGTTTTGGGGCAGGGCGTATTAAAAATGCTCTGGGGCATAAATTAAAGACTTAGATCCATAAGGCGTAAGTTCTAAAATTTGAGGCGTAAGTCTCGAGCATAAAAACGTAAGTTCTGGGCGTAAAAACGTAGTCCCGGGCATTTTTAATTTGTTTTTTTTAATCTTTTTTGCTTTAAATCATATTTTTTATTATTGGTATACTGATATTTCTCAAATAGTAATTATAATTTTTTTGTCTTCATTATTGATTATTAATTACTTATCTCAAATAAAAATCATAATATAATTTCTATATATTATAGGTTATTTATAAAAAAATATTTATATAATCATTGAAAGGTTTACTTTTACTTATTTTATTAGTAATAAAATTATAAAATTGAATATACATGAGATTACGCCCTGTAGATCCATGAGACTTATGCCCCGTGTCTCGAGGCTTACGTCTCGTCCCGTACTATATAAAACGCATCGTCTCACGCCCCCACCTCTTAAAACACTGCTTATAATTATTATTTTTCTCTTTTAAATAAAAAATTACAAAAAAAAAAAAGAAGAAGAAGAAGGAGTGACGTGCTTTGTCGACCTGCTGACAGAACATTCCAACTAAGTAGGCTCACCGACCTTATTCCTCTTATTCATATTTGCATTTTCCACGACAAATGAAGGCTGTCGGCCCAATGATATAATTTGGCCCGTTTCTTCATATAATTTAGGAAAAATGATATATATCATATATAGTAATCTGACGAGAGGGAGTTGCTCGGATGGTAAGCACCCCTCAATTTCAATCTGAAGGTTGCGAGTTCGAGTCACCAAGGGAGCAAAAGGGGTGGGAGCTCATAGGGGAGAATAAAAAAAAATGTAATCTAATTTAATCTATATTTTTAAATAATTATCTACCATTTCACTATTTAAAATTTTTATGTATCATATTTGAAGTGAGATACACCACTTCCTACAAAAATAGTTCAGAATAGCAAAATTTTATAGAATCTATCTCTCAATTCACATTTTTAAAAATTATTTTGAAGGATAATCTATCCCTCAGTTCACATTTTCAATCCTAATTAACTCAATCTCTCATCCCACGTTCATCTCTCCATTCTTCCTCTTCACATGATTTTCTTTACTAAATCATCAAAAAATAAAGCAATTAAATCTGCTTGTTGAGGTTTTTTTTTTTTAATTCCTCTATATATTTGAAATTAATGTTATGTATCTTTCACTCAAAAAGATTTTGAATCTTGTATTGTATACAGTAAAATGACATATATTTGATAATATTTTTTCTTTTTTATATCTAATTTTGTTTGATATAACAATTTATTATCAGATAAATGTGTATTCGATAAGTAGTAGTTTAATTAAGTCTTGTGTCTAATTTTGTCTAACAAAAGATTTATTATCAAATATATGTGTATTCAACAAGTAGCAATGTTAATCAAGATCTGAGTCGTATCGATCCCTTAAGTAATGGAGGATCTGAACATGTATATGTATTTATTATTAAATTTCAAATAGATGATTGTTAACAATACAATGATATTTCACTTTTGTTGAACTAAATAAGTTCGTAATTATCAGGAATTTGAGGAAGAAAAAACGTAAAGTTTGTCGATTCTCTAAAAAAATTTGGAAGAATTTTGAATATTTTAAATTTTTAGGAGTTGTTATACCGCGAGATACTCAAAAGTTGTTACCCACGCGATTTCCTCCTTAAATCATGTCTTTCAGTTACATTTCTTGTTTAAATACACTTGATTATATGTATTTGGCTAACATGTATTCAATATACATGTATGTGGATACGTATACATGTATCTGAGGTGTAAATTATGATAGCATTTGTAATATTGCAAATTCACAGGAAGGAAGGTAATTAACTACTAAATTAGTAGAATTTGTGTTGTTTACCCTATAATTCAAAGGAGATTTTGCGTTGATCGAAATTGAATATTCAGTGTATATTTCATGTATAGTTAGTATATACTTTATGTAGAGTGTATCATAATGTATTACCAGTGTATATGCAAAGTATAAATAAACTATTTAGCCTTTTTAATGTATCATAATGTATACTCACAGTGCATACTTTTTATGTGCTTTGACTCATATATTTGAAAGCATTCCTTTAAAATTTTGATGAATTTTTTTATAAACTAATTACTTTATTGTATATATCTGAAACTATGCCTTTAAAATTTTGATAAAATTGGCGTAACGTCTATGATATTTGAAACTTTAATTTAGTGTTTTGATTTTTGGATATCAAATTCACTTAAAAGGTAGGCATTCAATTTTAATTTTATAATTTCAATTTTATTATCATTTAAAACTTCACTTATAAGTCTAGTATTTTATTATTATTTTTCTTTTTTATAATTTTAAATTTTATAGTAAAAAAAAGATTCATGTTAGACGTGAAGAACTTGAACGTATCATGTGGGGAGATTATATTAGAATAATTAGTTATGTAAAATTTTATACATATTTGAAATATTATAATAACATTCAATCACATGCATTTATCTATAAAAGAAATATAAAAATATATAATTAGTTAATGCAGGATATTCTAATTATTACATTCTTTATAAAGTATAATTAAGAGAATTTTAATAATTTTCATAAATTATAAAAAATTTATGATACGAGGAAACAAAAAAGATAAGTATAAGTTTTGATATTTAAATGCATATTTAGACAAAAACTTTAAAATCATGTCTAAATGCCTATTTAGCATCCTAAAATCCTTTTCTCATGAAATTATAATATTTTCAAAATAGCGTTTGAATCAAAATTATTACTCCATTAAAGAGTGTAAAAATATATTGTATTCTATTGAAAAACTTTACTCTAGATTGTGTTCAGTGCCAAAGAATTAAATACAAACTGAGAATATAATACCAAATTCATAGGGTAAGTTAGTATAAATATGTTTTGGTTATAAAATTTTCGAAATTCAACTTAAAATTTGATTTTAGAATATTCAAATATTATTCTTTCATTTTGAAAATAAAAAGTTGATTAATTTCAATTGTTACATGAAATATTTATGTGGGTCCCACTGAAGGTCTTGACTGTTGCACCAAAAAGCAGAGCAGAAAGAATCAGAGGTGTCTGAACAAAGCTAACTTCTTTGATTGCTGTCTCTCTCTCTTTTGGGTCTCTGTGTCACTATAAACTTTAATATTATGACATTTTTAAATTAAAACCATACAAATATTATTAGGAAATTTTTCCAAAATTATGCAACCTAGAATATTGTATTTTGTGTTATATATTTCAATATAAAATATAGTACTCTAATACATTATTATTACTCCCTCCATTTCCTTTTAAATAATTTCTACTCTTGTTAATTTATTTCAAAAATTGTATACAGGCTATTCTTTTCAGGTCCTATTTTGGAGAGTATATTTTTGTTGTTATTCCAAAATAAGTAATTTATCAAGTATTAAACTTATTTTCTGAAAATTACTTTTATTTAATAAATGTTGTAGAAGTCTCATATTTCCATGTGTATATTAGTTTATTTTAATAAAACTTATATGATTAATGTTATTAAATTATATTTGGTCTGTCAAATTCTTTAGAATCATTTGATGGCTGAATAGATTTATCAATATAAGCTATGTAAGATATAATTATTTTATTTTTTACCCATGTAAAATGAAATATAAATTAATTCATAATTTATACCTATTTTATTTATGTAAAATAATAATCAAATATCATTTGATACGCTAAATTTTATATAAAGTAACTAAATAATCTCATATGATATGATATGTTGAATTTTATATAAAGTAACTATAATACTATCACATTTAATACTTAATTATGTTAATGTTTTTTTTAAATATATAAATAACAACCTCCATTCTTACCTCCTGACATTACTTGTGTTTGTTCTTCTACGTGCCCATTTGACCCTAAATTATGATTTAAAATTATAAGATAAAATCATCAAAAATAAAATTGGAATTTTTATAGAATCAAATTCGAAAATCATTTCTATGACATGAAATTATGAAATAAAATTAAAATTTTATTTGGATAAAAGAATGAAAAATCATTTAAAATGAAATGGAGGGAGTATTTCCTTTCACTATCCAAGAACTTTGGTACTGCACAGATTCCAAACAGAGCTAAAAGACAATTAGCCAAAGGACAACATACTGTCAAACTTGTACCTCTCAGCAGATACTTCCTCTCACTACAGTAAAAATATTTTTAATGACATTAACAAAAGAATGTTAAATTTTTATGGTATAATTGTTATTGAATTTAAAATTGCTAGAATGCTAATTGTCTTAGAAATATATTTAATGATAATTAAACTATTATAATTGTTGTTAAAAATTAATTTTGATGTAGTGTCTGTTTATTTTTATAATTTGAAAAATTAAGATAATTTATTATAATGTATAATTTATTTTTTAATATTAAATGATTTAAAAATAATAAAACAAAATTACTATTTTATTTATTGCATTTTAAAAGATATGTCGAGTCAAACATGAAGAAGAAAAGATGACGAGGAACTAGTACCTTGCTTTACAACCCCTTCACATCTTTTTTGCCTCTTCAGCTTTTTTACACAAAAATCAAGTAAATGCACTCTCAAAATTTCATCTAAATTCTAACACTATAACCAAACCCCATTTCCTTCATTCTCCTCTCCAAAACAAAATGTTCATGCCCTGGTGTTTTTCTCATATTTTCTTTCTTTATTTTGCTCTAAATGGTAAGTAAATCTTGTTTTTTACATTTTATATTTCTTTATGGATTTTTTCTGAGTTTTATAAGTTTCTATAAAATTAATTTTGCAGCTGCAGTTGGTCATGAATCAGTAGAGCTCTCAACTCTTGTGACTTTTCCAAGAACTGACATTACTACTAGTGCAGTTTCTTTGCCTATTCAAGATCTTTATGGAGTGTCCACTAGTGTTCTTGAAGCTGAAAATTGGCTAAGAAGCAATGTTTTAGCTCACTATCCAGCTACAAATATCACTACTATTCTTGTTGGTCATACTCTTTTGTGCAAAATAAATCAAGAAAACAGAATGAGGTTAATCTTGCCATCAGCTAAGAACATTTACTATTCACTTACAAGATGGGGTTTGCATACTGAAATCAAAGTGTCCACTTCTTTTTCTTCCAACTGTTTGGACCAAGATTCTGGTTTGTACAATCTTGATTTGGCTCAAGAGTATATTAAACCTCTTCTTGACTTCTTTCAACATGTTAATGCACCCTATGTAGTGAACTTAGGATATTTGGATGTAAAGATTGAATCTTTGATGAATAGTCATATAGGGTCTATGAAAAAATTGGGAAATTTTAGCCTAAACAAGATTTTCTTGATTAATGAGAAACCAAAACAGGGAAGATCCTTAAGTAGAAAGCTATCAACTTTTGACTCAAAATACAGTAATTTTCCTTCAAGGCCAACCCCATTAGCCCCAAATCCAAATCTGCCATCTCCAGCATTTGCTGCTAACAGTCCACTTCCTCCATTAATTGGAAACATTTCACCTCCTTTTGCTCCTGAAATGGCTCCTCCATTGTTCAATCCTATTAGCCCTTCTTATGGACCTCATTTGCCACCTTGTATACCATCTCATGGTGGGGGGTGGGGTGGAGTTGGGGGTCCAGTAGGTGCACCAGCAACAGGAGGTCATGGTAGTAGTGGGCTATGGTGTGTAGCTAAGCCTAGTGTACCACCAGAGACATTGCAAGAGGCATTAGATTATGCATGTGGTGAAGGAGATGCTGATTGTGAAGCTATTAGTCCTAGTGGAAGTTGTTTTTACCCTGATACTGTTGTGGCTCATGCTTCTTATGCTTTCAATAGTTACTGGCAGAAAACAAAAGGCAATGGTGGTACTTGTGGATTTGGAGGCACAGCTATGCTAATTAACTCTGATCCAAGTAAGCACTTTCTACAATTTGAAAATTACTCCCTCCATTTCAATTTATTTGTTTGATTTTGAATCTTGATGTCATCAATTATGGAATGTGTATGAAGTGAATAGTAGCATTAAGTAACATTATATAAGCATTGTTCTTCTAGGCAAAATTAGGTAGAGATAGAAGCCCCCTGTCCCAAAATAAATATCACCTTAGAAAAACAATTGTTGACTTAGTAAACTATACCTTCTATTTATTATTTTTCTTAATGAACGTCAAATGAGCTACAACAAGACTTACTTTGGGATGGAAAGGAATAAAAAATTGTCTAACTACATTTCTCTGAGTATAAGGGTCATTCAGAAGATGAATGTAAACATTTTTGGTATGCTATTGCAGGCTATCTCCATTGTCGATTCATTCTTGCATGATACAAGTAGAGAATGGAACTCTGGAATGCAAATTGAATGGAATGAAGGTGCTGCCATGAAGAGAAATGGGATCAAGATGTTGAAAATTTGTTTTTGGTGTCACCTCTAGTATAAATTTGTAGGAATTAGGAGTTTAGATGAGCCAATGGGCACTATAAAACTCTGACTAGTGACTTCCATTTTTCATATTGCACAATATTTTGTACTTGTAGTTTAGCTCTCTACTCTGCCCTTGCTGGTGCTAATGAAGATATGAGTCGAATTCTAAAAAAATGCACTATTTTGGAGGATCTGACACACTTCCGAGCATTGTTAAATAAAGAGTGCGAGCAACATGGTAAAAAATCATGGTCCCAAGACTCCCAAGTTCACTTTGATCTATTGATTAAATTCTTTGAGCTCCGCATTCGATCCTAGATGAACTTTTGCAACCTACTGGTAACTTCATCAGTTCTTTGATATAGTATACAAGGGTTTGACTTCCTTTTTCTAGTTCCTCCAATATCATTCAATTAAACAATACTCAATCTAATATGGTGGCTGAGTTGATTGAGTAGATAATCTGAGAATCTTTCCAATGGAAGTCTTGAATTTGATACCACCTCCATGTGTTTCTCGGTTGAACTTATCATACGAAACTTGTCTAGTGCAGTTTACATATCCTGATCCCCAATACATAATAAATATATAGTCCCTTTAAGAAGAGAAGGACACAACTTGTGATGAACCAACAATTTATTGGCTTTGGTTCTCTTTTTATTCACAATTAGTTTGACGTCTGAAAATCCTTCAGCTTAACAGTTCAAACTCCATCGTGCACAATATTTAAGCTATAATCCCACTGTCACAAACACACCAACCCTCAACCACGAAAGCTATCAAAATCTATAGCTCGTGGAGTGAAGGGTTGCGGACAGCATATAAGCTGCCCAAACATCCCTTGTGTCCGATGCAGGACTGGATGTTGCAATATAGCTCTGTTGATTAAATTACTAAGCAAGAATAAATCTGGACAGAGACATGGGAAACAGCTTGCATCATCTATATACTATCAAGAAACATATATCACTTTCTACGTAGCTGAGAGATCTATGTGAGATGCAATCTAAAAGCATCGGCAATGTGAGACCAAAAATGGCATACTGCAAGTGTAAGGCTAACAATGGATTTCTGTACAGATAGTCTAGGGATCGGATATCTATCTCACTTATACATTAGTGATCACCTTTCGTCATGTCAATTACAGCTCCTTCCAGGTCATTCTGCCTTCCATCAGCACCATTAGTCATGTCGACCAGTGCTCCTTCCTGGTCATTCTGCCTTTCATCAGCACCATTAGTCATGTCGACCCGTGCTCCTTCCCGGTCATTCTGCCTTTCCTCAGCATTATCATTTAAGCCTTTCTGCAAAAGATGAGTGTTGGTTGGTATGTTAGAACCTCAGACTAAAGCGATCAGAGAAAAGAGCAGCTGGATACTAAGGTAAAAACTAATATGTGAATCGCAGAATTCATCAGCTGCAAGGTTTCAAATGCATATTCTCTTTTCAGCTATTATTCTTTTATCAAGGACATCACATCTATAATCTTAACTAGAGGTTCTTCAATGTTTTGACAATTGTGTTATAGATCTCTATGCCCGTCGGTTGAACATTCTTGCAAATAACTTTTTGGTTTCCAATTTTTAGCTTGGTTTGAAATCAGCACAGTAACAGACGTTCGGTAGCCAGTTAGAGTTGTGCAAGTATTAGTAATGTAGAGATTGGTTAAGAGTAAATTTATGTATTATTTTATGTAGGGATTAGTTATTCATGTATTAGTTATTTCACCTTCTATCCTGCATAAAATAACACATAGATTCCTCATAACTTATGTGGGGTTTCTAAATTGTTAACCAAACGTCGTATTAATTTTATACATAAATTAATTATATCCTATTTACCTACCAAACATCTTATACGTTATACGGAAATTAATACATGGACAATTTATTTCTTATCCAGCCACCAAACGACTCCCACACATAGGGACTACAGAACTCAATTTTCCACCATGCCTCTTTTCTTTTGGGTTCTAAATGAAAAACTACCAAATATCATTTTGATATACACTATATATTTAACACACGCGTCTAAAATTTTCTAAACCATTGAACCAGGAGTCAAGTAACAGATAATGTGTGACAAAGGAGGGGGAAAAAGGATAGCAGGCTCTGTCCATTGTTAAGTCAAAGTTGTACTACTTAATTTCAAAAAAAGTCAAAGTTGCACTACCCAATAAGTGCACTGAGTCTCAGAAAATAATCTTACCAGTTGTGTAATTCCTTCAGATGGCGTGTTCCGTAAAGAAGACACACAAGGAAGAGAGCAGCAGAATTTTGAACAGACTATCCCTTAAAATATCAACGGAAAGGAAGAGCTAGGAATACAAGATATAGAAGTGTTTCATTTATTGTAAAAGCTCAAAGATCCCAATAATTGGGGTTGAGACGGTCCTCACATTGAAACAACTTTAGCAAGTCTGCGTGAGCAGTTATAGGAACTAAGATAACAAGCACTTGATCACAAAGCTATTCTACAAGTGTGAATATACCTTTTTAGTTAGAGTATGAGCTAAAATAAGTTCATGTAACTTGCGCATCAGCATTTCTTCCTCAACCTACACGTAGAACAACATACATAACTGATATTTTAAATTGAAAGGCAAATGGAAAGAAATCAAAAGCAACAAAAATTTACAAGCGGCTAATAATAATGAGTTTGTCTCAAAGTAGTCACAATATCAGCAGCCACAATGTCAGTTTGAATGCTGATGCAACATGGGTGACAACCCCCCCGGCTCAGGGGGTCTTCCTATTGGTAAAAAGCTACCAGGGAAAATCAATGGTACTATTGGTTTACCCTGATGTTCTACGACATACACGATAGTCATCTTGCAGGACGTCCAATAACAGTGGCACTATAGATAATACTTTGTTGTTCTACTTAATTAAGTTCATCTAAATACAAACCAAATTCACCGTAAATGAAACAATCTCTTTTGTTTTTCATTTGAAAATCAAAATCTCTCATCAAACGAATGCTATCTCAAGAGCAAGTTAAACAATTATTGGATGACTAATAGATCGGTCTCCCGATGGCCTAGTCAAAATGTTGTTATCCTAATCTCCACAAGCTGATTTTCCGAACTATGCATTCATGTAGATGCAAGAATATCTTAAAGATCACGAGCCTAAAGCACAATTTTGTTAGACATAAACCAGCTTTTATATGGCCCACTTTCACTCGTCTTGAGAAAGCAGAGAAACATAAAACATTAAATGGGCTTCATAGCATGGATAGAGCGAGTCCAAGATTTAGAACTAGAAGGTTATGTATTAGTTATATTTATGTACTGTTTTCAATATCTTTCATCTATAGATACAACCTTATTTAAAAAGTACTAATTATTATTCTTTATTTTTTTTGGATGACCGTGGGGTCCAAGCCAGCTTTCGCGCACCTCCTAATTCCACGGGATACCTGCCACCTCCCACCAGCAACAGGTACTTGGTAACCCTGTCCACCAAGGCTAGGATAGATGGAAAGAATCACCTAGTGTTTTTGTCTTCGCTGGAATTCCAATTTGAGACCTCAAGGTTCTCACCCACTTCATTGACCACTAGGCCACACCCTTGGATGCTAAAAGTAATAATTATATTGATGCGGGATATAGAAATAGAGAGCATGAACTCCTATAAGCAGTACTTGCCTCAGAAGGATAGCTTCTATGAATCCCTATATAAGCTTGGGCAAAGTGGACAACATTGGTCCAAGGTTGGCAGAAGGAGTACATAGAGATATTGCTGGCTGGACAAGCATGGAAGAGTTGATGGTCGATGAGGTTGTTTACAAGGACATGGGCACACAACACGGGAAGTGGACAGATTTTAGCTTTGAGGCCTTTGAAGAGGGTGTTGATATTGAGAAGGGGGTCCTCTCAACTTTGATGGATAAATTGATCCATGACCTAATGTGAATTAGCCTCTTCTGGCTTTAATCAACATCAAGTTTGATACTTTAGATTTACTACTTTACTGCTTCCTTGTGCATTGTTCTTTTCCTCATGAAAGGCGGAAATCTTAATTTAAGCAAGAGATCAGTGGCTCAAGTGATTGTTCATATTTATGTTCTAAGATAGGATCAGGGTTTCCATGATAGAAGGGTGCATTATCCTTCGAACGCGAATGCACAATGAGAAGCCTTTCTGCCAATGTTTTCACTGATTTTGAGTGTGATATTGATAGGTGATCCCAGAATTAGTAGAGCATGTTGAGGGTTTGAGCTCAAACTCAGCTCTTCTGGCCCCTCTTTTACTCTACAAAAGCACTACTGCTAGAATTTTTAGAACAGAAACATTTCTATATTTTTTAGAAGAAGATTCACATTTCTATATCAATGGATGATTTAAACTGAAATCTTTATTATTATTACCACTACACTATTTAGAGAGAGTTAAACAATTTTCTTTCAGCACAAGTGTTTATTGTAAATTTTCTTAACTATAAAAATTACTATGATTTATAATACTACTTACCTCCAATATAATTTCCAAAAAGTATAAATAAGACATGATGATTTGAGTTCAAAATGGCAATGGACTTAAGAGAGCCGTGACACGAAGGAAAGCCAGAAATGTGGTCCTACTGGGAACGCAAGGAGAGCTTAATAGAATTGTTAAACAAGCGTAAAGGGCTAAATTGAATACCTGAAGCCTGTGCAATTCATCCGACATTGCTTTATGGGCATTTGAGAGTAGTTCACTTTCTTTCTCCAGATGCCTACACCACAAACATAAAAGGAAAAATTAAAACCCACATACAAAACTAAAAAAAGAAAAGAAAACATACTGCACAGAAACAGAACAATACGAAGAAGGTGAAAAGAACTTAAAAGAGCAATTACTTGAAGGTTTCTCCTGCATATTTGGGATCCATTGAAAAAAAATTGATCTTCTTCCACGAACCTTTCAGTGGGAAATAAACCTTCACTTCAGTTTCAACAGGAGAATCAAAGCTTTAAACTGATTCAGAAAATCGCAAGGAATCCTAACAATGGAGAAACAATGAAATTATTTCCAGAAGGAGGAAGAAGAAAATTGCTATTTGGATACGTTGGTCTTTTGTTGCTGGACCTACTATGAGATCCCCAAATAAGGATTGGTTTGGATCAAATTGGCCGTCCCAAAACTACAATTCGCACGAATACCCTATTTTGACATCATCTTTCCTAATTTTTATCTTTAGCACTTTAAGTAATAAATATAGGAGAGACTATTTAATTACTTGCTAATTCTCCCTATAGTTTGAAATAATTACATTTTATCTCACTATTTAATATTTCATATAAGATTTCAAGTAAGATAAATGCGAATTACACTAGATACACACTATATACATGTATCTCGTATGATTCGCATATATCAGATAATCGAGCAAGATATGAGAGTAGCGAGCGAGATAGGAGGAAGGCGGGAGAGGAGAGCGAAATTTGTTTATGTATCCCAGATACATACGAATCCGCTTGAATAAGTGTATCTAGAACAAATTACACATAATTTTGACTCATTTATCCCGAGATACATGTATCTGGGCGTATTTGGGCGCACCAAAATCTAGTAAGATTCGTGATATTGAAAACCAGCATGATCTAAGTAAATAGTTCCTAACCTAATGATTTTTCTCTAAGTTACCCTAAAAAATAACCAAAAATATCCTAGACAAAAGAAAACGCAAAAGAAAATTTGCAAGATATAAAATATGCTTTATGGAACAAAAAATTGACAAGGCAAATTCACAAGACACAAATTATGCCTTGTAAGACAGAAATTTAATTTCAGAACATTATGCCTTCAAGTTCATAACCCACAAATTATGCTTTACTTAGTTCCTACAAAACATGTTTTATAGGGCATAAGTTCAATTTCAGAATATTATACTTTAAGAAGTTCATAACCCACGAGACATAACTTAGTTCCTACATAAGTTATGTCTTATAAAGCACAAGTTTAGTTTTAAAACCCACAAAATTAAGCTTTAAGGGGCATAACTTATTCCTACAAATGTTTGTTGGACAAGACATATGTTATCTAAACTTATGCCTTGCGAATTGGATGCTATACAACTTATGTTGGACAAGGCAAATATTCTCTAAACTTATATTTTGCGAATTAAATACTACACAATTTATGCTGAACAAGGCAAAAGTTCTCTAAGCCTCGAATAATATTTCATCAATCCAAGTCATGGTAACCAACAACACTAGATGGCAAAATGCACTAAAATTTCCATCTTTTAACTTGAGCCAAAATGAAATTTATATTCACATGACACTACAAAGAACCAAAGACTATAAAGAAGTATTCTAACATGAAAATGGATACATAAACAAAGGATAACTACAATATTGATTGAAATTTCCAGATTTTGATTAATGGATAGCACTAAAATCAAACCGAACTACACTTAAAAAGAAAAGAAAGCAATCAAGTTCTCAGCCACATTTTCGAAAGCAAAACAGTTCCAACACGTAAAGGACTAGACACGCATAGGAATGAGCTAACGATAAACCTATGAGCCAAGTTGAAACGAGATTACAGTGAGTTACAAACACGACATCAATAGCTGAAATACAAGAGAAAAACAGCCAGCATTCAAGTTATGCAAGAATTTAAATAAATCGTAAGAGATTAGGCTAACATGATGAGAAGCTACAACTACACATTAAAACGACAAAGAAGACAACCAAAACACAAGTAAACAGTGAAGAAAGCAAGAGTATACAGCAACAAATCTCAAGTTGAAGCTAAATGAACACTATTATCATTTCGAGTGAGACAAGGCAGTGGCTCAGCTAACTATAGAGGTAACGACTATGACGAACAATATATAACATCCAAAGTGATTTCACTGATGCTTAACTCACGTTCACAGCTCAAAAACTCAAAGAAAAGTGAAACACAATACAAGGAATCAACTCCGCATAACAAAACCGGTACAAAGAATGTCATACAACACACTATATCGTAAGAGAGAACGGAGTTACCTTTCTTAGAGCAGCTTTCCGGGATAAGAATTGGAGGAATTGTCCGATTCGAAATTTGAATTCCTTAGACAAGGTTGAAAGCTGTAATTTGTACACAATTTCCTCAAGGGATTGAAATTGAGAGCCCTTGATTGTTGAGCAAGGACGAGGAAGCACCGAGATTTTGACACCTAGATGATTCGAGAAGAGGAGGACGGGCGATGGTTGGTTTTCCGGGTTTGCAGCGCGAGAGAGAAGAGGAAGATGTATACTGTATTTGTTGTTGTTGTAAAGAGAATTGGTCGGCTATTTGAATTGTGAGGTGGAATGGATTGTTGATTGTATGTTGTTGGGCTGCTGGGTCTTGTGGTGTAAAGAAGAAATGGGCTTAATTGGGAATTGGGAGTAAAGGAAAATGGGTCCAAGATTGGAGGCAACAAAATGGTTGGGTTTGCAATTGGAGAGATGGCCCAATTATAGCCAATTGTAGTTAATAATTTAGCCAAAGTTAATAAGTGAATCCGGCTAAAGATTAAATAAGACGAATTATAACTAAATAATCTAAAATTATAACCATAATTTAAAGAGCAACTTTCACATATAACAAACACAAAAATCATATTTGTATGCTATAGGTATAATTTGCATAATTGCGCTCCATAGCAAACATAAATATGTATATTTCACTATACATATACAAAAGAAAGCAGTTGTATATACTTTGTTTCTGTTTTGGTATACATATACAAAAGATCAATTGTATAATCTGTGTTTGTATAAAACGAGAAGGAGAGAAAGGCAAAAGAGAACTGGGCAGGAGAATATTTGTATTGTATAATTATAAATGTATAGGACGAAGATATATGTATTTGCATGTGTATATACAATTTTCTCTCGCTTTATACAAACAGATACGCAGTTTATACATTTCTATATGTATAAGCGAGAGAGGCGAGGGAGAGACTGGCGAGCGAGATCTGGGAGAGTGTCAAGCGAGATTTGTGAGAGGGGAACGAAAATATATATACACACACAATTTTCTCTCACTTTATACAAACACAAACACTATTTTATACTATTTGTCGTTTGTAATAAAAGCGAGAGAGGCGAGGGAGAGAACGAGAGTGGTGAGCGAGATTTAGATAGGCGAAATAGCAACAGTTTGCTATGGGGTACAATTAAATCAAACTATGTTTATAGCATTTAATTTGAATTAATAGTTTGCTATTATATACAATTTTCCCTAATTTAAACTAAATTAATTTAATAAAATATTTAACTTAAATATATTAAATCTTTTTAAGATGACTTTTGAATATTCATAAAATATACAAATTATATAAAACATATTTATTATTTTAAAATATTACAAAAATATTAAAATCACATTAAAACTTGAAATATATTTTGAATTTTTTAAAAGTTAATTCTTTCAAATCGTTTGAAATTAAAGAAGCTTGAAAATTAATTTATATCATGGATGGTCAAAATTGGGTGTCAACAACTGTCCCTCGTTTGACTTGGATTGATGAAAGAAATTCGAGGCAAACGAAATTGACGAATCCAATTTTGACTACGTCTCCATCTTTCAGAAAAGGGATTTGGTACGGACTTAAGGAATTATGGCCGAACTCCAGAAATGGATTTCCTACATATCTCAACCTATATGATAATTCAGGTCACTTGTAGTTCAATACGCTTGATTTGACGCACGATTCTGAAAGGATTCAGAAACTATCCCAATACCAAATTATGAGGGCACCGGAATGCTCGATCGGGGATAAGATTTAAGAGAGAATGTTGGAGTATATCCGAGTTTTTAACATTGATCTCTACTACATATCCCTCGACTCAGGAAATCAGACTGTTTGTAGTTTGACTTGATCGATTGAAAAGGAAACCCAGTATGCTAAGATAACCTTTGGTTCTAGAAGAGTGACAAATAGGTCGAATTACGAAAAATAGGCCTGCAATCTCTTAGCCATGAATATGGAGCTCTTCACATTCATAAGTAAGAACTTACATAAACATAATTTCCAAAATTATTGGTGAATTATCACTCATATTGGAAAGTTGCCTCCGATGAGAGCCGAAGTTTCCGGATGCGAAATTGAAACTAATAAGCCTAAAAAAAATACCCACATGCCTTTTGATAGGGGTGTGATTTGATTGTGGTGGAAACCGCTCCTCAGCTCGCGTCTAAAGAGTTTGACATTCCTCTTTGTACTATGTTCCAGTTCACTGCTAAGAAAAAGTTCCACGTTATGCTGCAGCCTTTTTTATGTCGTCCACATCCACACCTGTGGTTTGTTTGAGAATTCATCCTCTTGGATGCTCTTGATAAAGACTGAGATAAAACTCATTAGTATAAAATGTAATTCAAATGGAGAGATAGTGTATTTTACCATGTCGACACTTAGCTACTCCCTTCAAATACTAGACGTCAGCCTCTATCAATTTGACGTAAAGCAAATAAAGCTTATACCTCATATTTTCAATATAATTCTTCAATGTACTATTTCTTTCATATTGAAGTAATAAGAAATATACTGATGTAATACGTTGATGACTTTCTTGCAATGAAGATACTGATGAGGCATCACTAGGCAATGATAATGATAGCGATTTTCTGAAATGAAGTTGGTGCCTCACTCGGCAATAAGGATGATGCCTCACTGGGCGGTGACGATGATGATGACTTCTTGGTGCTGAATGAAGATAAGGCCTCACTGGATAATGGCAATGATACCTCACTAGGCAATGAGTTAAAAATGACTTTTCGACGCTGGATGAAGATAAGGCCTCACTGGGCAATGATGATGATGATAACTTCCCAATGCTGAATGAAGATAAGGCCTCATTGGGAAATGACGATAATAATGAATTTTGGTGTTGAATGAAGATAAGGCCTCACTTGGTGATGACGATGATGATGATTTTCTAGTGTTGAATGAAAGATAAGGTCTCACTAGGCAATAACAATGATGATGACTTTTCGATGTTGTATGAAGATAAGACCTCACTAGGCAATGACGGTGATGATGACTTCCCGGTGTTGAATGAAGATAAGGCCTCACTAGGCAATAACGATGATGATGACTTCCCGGTGCCGAATAAAGATCCTTCTCACTGGAAATGACAATGATGATGACTTCCGATGTTGAATGAAGATAAGGCCTCACTGGGCAATGATGATGATGATGACTTTCCGTGCTGAATGAAGATAAGGCCTCACTAGGCAATGACGGTGATGATGACTTCCCGATGCTGAATGAAGATAAAGCCTCACTGGGCAATGACGATGATGATTAGAGCTGTCGAAATGAGTTGGCCCAACCCAACCCAACCAAACCCTAACGGGCTAGAGAGTTAAATGGGTTAGGATGGTCAGACCCTTTAAATTAAAGAGCCTATAAAATAGCAGCCCAACCCAGCCCTAAGCGGACCACGGGTTAAGACGGGTTGGCCCTTCAACCAAAAATTGAACAATATTGCTCTCTTAGAAAGAATATCTAAGAGTATCGAACGTTGATGTCTGATGAACACGACATCAATACATACAAAAATTCATTTATGAATCACAAACTTCGGTGAATACTTACAAAAATACACAATAGAAAACATAAGATTTAACAGAAAAATGTTGATCATTCCACCATTCCTCCCACAAAATATTAGTTGGTTTAAAAGATTTCCAGCAACACAAGGCAACCCAAAAACTTAACAAATCTAAATTGCTAAATATTACATAACCCATTAATTAAAGTTTTACAACTCCGCTTCCGCTTCCGCTTCCACTTGTACCATTGATCATATTTGAATCAACATGTGATATTGTTTCCTTAAGAAGTTCATCTTCTTCTACGATTCACCATATAAAATGTTAGTTAGATAATAATTAACAAATACTTTCAAAAAAAGAGTGATATTAATAGATTAGATAGAAAAATATTACCCTCATTAGGTTGAGTAAACCCATGCAATCAATTTCTTGTAGTGACAAGAGTTTGGACATTTTCATGATGGATACAATTTCTTTATTTGGTAACAACACGACCACAAATACAAAATGTTGATTCAGATGCTACAGTGGTAATTGTAACACTAAGAATATCTCATGCCATTACCGAAAGATCTGGATATTTTTTTTCCATTATCCTTTCAATACTTAATAACATCCATCTCATGAAAAGTCTCATAATCGAGCTTTTGTTCCTCCAAATAAAGGTCCAATTCTGACTTTCTAGTAATGCAAATAGATGTACACTCAAACTCATTAAATTCCTATTAATTTGAAACATGAAATATGACAACGATAAGAAGACGAACCACATCATAACAAGTAAAAAAGTAAATTGATTTTAACTTCAAATAAAATAGTAAAAGGTAACTCATTTTTTTTGTCTAACTACGCATTAAATAGAACTACAAAAACCATCCAGTAAACAAAATTAGTTCTAAAATGTGTAAGGGGTTTTAATCACAACCCATCAAATTAGAGAATAGAAGTGGTTTTAAGAAAAGATACAAAATGATTTAGAGAGAGAAATTAGATACTTACCGCAAACAAAGTAGACTTCTTTTGTTTAGATTAATTTCCTTCTTCAGTTGGTTTGGGCGAATAGTAGAAACAGTTGCCCCAATTTGATTATTTGCATACCGTTCGTAGAGCTTGTATAATTTTAACTTTATATGCCGAAGAATAGTTCAACTTTAAGAAACAATATTCTAAAAGTTGCTTCTTGAAGCGAGGATCCGGAATTGCTCCAAATGAGAGTATAAAACTATATCTATTCCAATATTTCTGAAACTTGTTGAACATTCTTACAACCATTTGATTAATAACTTCATCTAAATTACTTGAATTCTCCTTCAGCAATAGAGTTGTAAAAATGAGCTTGGCCCGCCCATTAAGTCGATCCAACTCAACCCTTGAATTAAGTGAGGTTGGGCCTACTTTTTTGGCTCATTTAGGAACGAGGCTTTTTGGCCCAGCCTCATTTGGCCCGCTAACCTTGTAGGCCCAACCCGCGAGCCTTAGATCTTATCCTGTGGGCTATGAATGTTTAAAAATATTTTTTATATATATATATTTTTAGTAGTGTTTTATTTGTAAAGATTTTATCAATAGATATTTTAAAAAATATATAAAATCAAGTCCTTTGCAAAGCTTTTACATTTTAGGGCCATGAGCCCACTAAATTTTCTTTATTGCCCAAGCCCATTACTCCATTAGGATTTTGATTCATTTTTATAAGTATATATATAATGGTATGTATTCTCTTTTGTCTTTTAAAC